TGCGGCTGCCCCTCCTCTTCCCTGCCTCTAGGACGGCTTAATAAGCCATCTGCCGAGGCCCTATGTAGGTGTAGATTGACAGTACAGCAGCACAATGAAGGATTTTGGCTATAATCTCTGTTTGCCTGTCTATCTTTTTCTCTGTATGAGAGATTTCAAAGTCATCCTTTTAAAATATGCTACAGAAATCATATGTAAGAAATGCATGCGCACTTTCACTCACCAATTACAAGAAATACATTCATTCATTTCATGAGCAGCACTTAGTCCAGCTATGTTTGCATCCATAATTTAAGCAAAAACACAAGTAATTTCAACTGGAGGATGGAATGGGAGCAAAGCCTCATGCCTCACTAAATGATGCACAATGAATTATAATTCTAGGTAAGCATCATTGCTACCCCTATGTGTGAAACTGTTCTACCTCTTTGTTCCCTTATGTCAGATTCCCCCACTCCACCCTCACACACCCAGCATTCTTTTAAAATGTATTTTATGCAGTTAACAAAAGGTGTGCATTTCAGTGTTTGATTATTCCTCACTGTTATCCTTTAATATGCAACACAAATGGATTTGTATGACATCAACACACACACCCCTGGCATCTGTTCATACTTCCTTGGCGATTCATCATTTGTTTTGTCCCCAAAAAAGAATAAATGCATTTTACCTTCCTCTCATCTGGAGAAGACTGCAAATAACTAAGCAAAAGCAGCATTAGTATAATTATTCATTCTTATCCAGGGGTAAGGATGCTACTTGGCATTGCAGTTGCCTTCCAAGACTGTTCCTGCAAATCTAAATTAGCACTGTGAATGCCAAGGCATCCCTTATTGGTCCTTGATGTTGCTGCCATGTGCTCCCATCAACAAGTCAAGAACTATCACTGCACACTCCTTCTACAATAATAATTTATATATTATTTGGAAGGACTGCTTGCATCCAGAGCTTGGAAGGAATGACTACACAACTACTTACAATTAGGTACTTGTAATTTTTCCAATAACTTAGTTATATTAGCATTGTAATTTAACAAGGAATAACTTCATAGCTTTTCCAAGGTAACTGTAACATTTTGTTACTTTTCTCATTATGGGGAATAGGTTTGTTTCCTCACTAAGCATCAGAGGAAGAAAATGATGCAGTTCAATTTTTGGCTTTTACTTTGTCTTATACTGCTGCCTCACACTCAGTTGCAAACCTTGAAGTGATTATGATAAGGAGATAATTTTTTGTATGTCAAGGGTTTGCAGTAAGCAACTGTAGTTTTGTGAGTCATTTAGCTGCCTCTATCAAAAAGCTCTGGTGCCACAACACACTACAAATCCCAGTATTCCATAGGATCGAGCCATGGTGGTTAAACTGGGGTCAACCTGGATGCAGCTTTTACCTCATTATTTTTTTTAAAAAAAATCATGCTACAGTAGCAATTAACTACTGGGGGGAGGGCTTGGAATTATAATTGCAACTACTTGTTTGAACATCTAACTGTCCAAGTGCCACACACTTTTGAAGATGGTTGTGCAAAATGCCCAATTGGTTGGTGGCTGGGAGAGATGAGGCAGGTGACGGAGGGAGGCAGAATATCTGTGCACTCATGTGCATGCATTTGCAGCAGAACAGGAAAAAATGTCACGACACGGTTTGTGGCCATGAATGCTCCATTTTGGCAGATCTATCCTCCCAGAGGGAGAGGTGGTGTGTTGGCCCATTGTGGGAGCTGGCGGTATAGTGAACACATTCTCCCTATGACTCAGAAAACTTCAGAGGTAAGCTGTCTTTTAATCTCTATTTAGGCCCTTAGAATAATAAAATCACAGAGTTGGAATAGACCACAAGGGCCATCCAGTCCAACCCCCTGCCATGCAGGGAGACACTTGAGTAACTCCTTCTAAAAGTCCCAGTTTATATTCCCAGACCATCACTTGTCAATCCCAACCTTATTTTCTAAGAACAGGGTCATTACAAAGAAAAAGGAAAAAGAGGGACTTTTACAGAGTAAAAAACAAGGTCACAATGAGATTTAATATAATAAATCCAAGTTGTAATATAAATCAAAAACATTAGTAGCATTTTAAAAAGAAAGCAAAATAGGATAGATCTACACAGCAAGAAATGAACAAGTGAGTATCAAAACCACAAGATGATCTCATAGTCCTGGCCATTGAAAGTGCTTCGTAGCACATTTCATTAAACCACAAGCTGACTAATGTTATTTCTTCTTTCCAATTTCCTCAGAAATTCTGAAATGTTTTGGGTACTCCCCACACCACCTGTATTTGATAGTGCAGGGATTTTCACATAAAATGTATCATGATGTTGGGACTTTCCATGAAGTTTATGATGTCCCTATGTTCTTCTGAAATCATTTAATTCTAGGTAGGGATGCATTTGAGACCCAGTATTGCATGGTGGTTTGAGTGTCATGAAACCCACCAGGTGACCTTGGGCAAGTTACACTCTCTCAGTCTCAGGGAAAGGAAATGGCAAACCTCCTCTGAACAAAATCTTGCCAAGAAAACCCCATGATAGATTCACCTTAGGGTTGCCATAAGTCAGAAATGGCTTGAAGGCACACAGCAACAACAACAACAACAACAACAGTGTTAGAACTTTAGTAGGATAAAGGGGCTGATCTATCACTGGTTGCTTTTAGGACTTTTTTTTGCTATTTTAGGGTAGAGAGCTCTCCCTCAAAAAAATTATACAGAGTACATAATGATCTAATTAGAATTCTCAGCAAGAGAGCTCTAATGCATCACACAACTACAAACCCAGGATTCTGCAGGATGTTGCCATGGCAGTTAAAAGTAGAATCATAGTTCCATATAAACTGTGTAGTCTGAAAGGGCCCAAGATCTGTTTTTCTGTGAACAATTGTGTTCCATAAGCCAGTCATTCATCTCCAGTTGTACTATAGTTCCAGTGCTTCTGGTTCTTGTCACTGCTCCATTTGAATCACTATCTTGGCTTTGATAGAATCTCCTGGCTATAATTTGAAATTATGATTAAATGATAGGTGAATCTCAGATCTTGGGCTATATATATATATATATATATATATATATATATATATATACATACTGTTTTTAACTTGTTTTAATTCTATCTGTAGGCCTCCCTGAGATTTCCTGATATAAGATAGACTATACATATTTTAATCAATCAATCAATCAATAATATACCTCCCAATCAAGAAATGTATCATATGAGGAGGATATGAGGTAAGAAAATCCATTGCAGGGAAACTGCCTGATTCATAGCTCTGCCAGCATGGCATAGGGTGAAAGGTGTTCCTGTCCACTTTGTACTTCTTATTCAGGTTCCTTTTGAAAAACTCTCCTCTATTACTTCCAGTTTAATTGAGTCACTTAATCAACTCTAGTTAGAGGACTAACAGTTGGAATTAGACCAGGGTGAGAATCAATGTGCCAGCTGCCAGGAAACAGCCAGGAAAAGAGCAGATCTAGAGGGACACTCACAGAGAAGGAAAGATTTTGGAACTGATGGATCCAAACCCTTCTTTGCTTCACTCTGACACACCTACAGAAGTTCCCACTTTGTCCTTTCCAGTACAGTGGATCTTTAGGTCACCATTAAAGAGAGGAGTCAGAGTGGCTTAGTGGTTTGAATGTTGGACTGTGACTCTGGAGACCAGGGTTTGATTCACCCCTTGGCCATGAAGCCCACTTATTGACCTTGGGCAAGGCACAGTCTCTCAGTCTCAGGAGAAGGCAATGGCAAACCTCCTCTGAAGCAACTTTCCAAGAAAACACCATGATGGGTTTGCCTTAGGGTTGCCATAAGTGGGAAATGACTTGAAGGCACACAACAACAACATGGAAAGAGAGAACATCTCTCTCTTACAGCCTGGAGATAACATTCAAGGAAAAATATGGGCTAAATCCAATTGCTGGTCTCAGCTAGCCCCAGTGAATCAAAGGAAATATGTCAATACTTGTGTTAGTACAGTTGATTCAATGTCTACCCTAGTTAGATCACTAACAGCTGGAATTAAGCCAGGGTAGGATTATGTGGCCCTTAAGATGTTTTGGACTGTAGTTCCTAGTAGTCCTAGCATATGCAGCCATGATGAATTCTAGAAGATGCAGTTCAACATCTGAAGGAGAACATGACTGTCACCTAGGATTCTTGTCCAGGGGCTTACATTCCCATTTACATTTAACCCAGTTTGCAATTCACTTTTGCTCCAGGTTGGTGAACTGATTCCAGTCAATGTGTCATCCCACTATGGAAGTGGGTCTTTTCTTTATTTACTTCTTTTTTGGCACAATTGTCATTCCCACTAGTTTGTGCCACTTCAATGCCTGTCAATCATCTACGTGTCATCGGTGAAGCAACCGGCAACACATTCAAGAAAACATGAGAGGGAGTCATAGTTCCATGGCCAGAATTCTCCTCTAAGATGCATGCATCCATGGGTGTCATGGAGGACTCTCCTCTGGGATGCATGCATCCATGGGTGTCATGGAGGACTCTCCCCCAGGATGCATGCAATTTAAAAAAAAAATGACAGTATATGCACTTCATTGTTTTTGCAATTACTTGTTTCACTGAGCCATAGTCAGTCCACTCACCCAGCTCACTGCCCACAAGCAATTGCAAATACAGTGGAGCACATATACTGTCTGTCTATCTATCTATCTATCTATCTATCTATCTATCTATCTATCTATCTATAATACACCCATAGGTCACACCACAAAGCACAAAGGCAGCACTGAGAGAGGGGGAAATGGTGGATTCCCCTAAAAACTGGTCAGGGATGTACCAACCCACTGCCACAGTAATCCCTCCCCTTCAGTTTGATGTGACTCAGGTCTGTC